GAGGTTAGTGCAGTCCATGGGGGCCCTGGGGCCTGTAAAGGAAATCAGGAACCTCCCCCAAAACCCTTTCTCATGTACTTTGGAGCAGCCTTGTTAGGGTACTGCGCAAGAAGAAGTAACAGGGCCTGCAAGCAAACTGAGGTTCTTGCCAAGAGATAATCAAAAACTGGTGGCTCATTAGAATTACTTGGCTGTGCTGGTGGTATCACTGGTCCCTGATCCTCCTTCCTTTTAAATGCCAAAGCTGGAGGATCAAGCACCCTCAAGTGGCTGCTGTGATGTTCCCTCTCCATGGGGACAAGTTGGCCAAGAGTGTGGGCCAAAGCCGGCATCACAGTTGTGTCCCAATGGCACCTGTTGTGGTTATACTCCCAACATACCTGCCTAAAGGAATCCCAACTGAAATTGGGCCTATAATGGGCTCGCTTGTGCCTAGCTTTAGTATATGGGTCAACTATGAGAAGCCAAAACTTGTCATTTAAAAGGCCCCATGTGGTCAACTCATTTTGTGAAGCCATCTTATGAAAAGCCTCATCATACTCGATGGTGGGGCCATCCCCAGCTAGCGTCCAAACATGGAGGATGCTTACTAAGTGGCTGGACAAATGCCAGCCCGGTTCTGGGTAAGCAGATGGTACAGCAGTCATTAACACTGTACCCTGACAATAAGTTCTGAAAGGAGTGCTCAGCACTTCCCTTATCAAAACCCATTGTGTTTGCTCAGGGGCCTGCCCTGCCGGTAGGCTCTCCTGCCTCAAGAGCATCAAAATAATAGCCCTCTAAAGTCTGCTCCTGGACCTTGTGCTTCACAAGGATGTCCAGGGGGGTACTCCCCATTGCCATACATGGGTGGAGCTTGCTGGGCCCAGGCCTTTCCACCCACTGCTGCCTAAGGGTCCATGTCGGTAGGCCTGGGACATATGCCCTGTTCAGCCAATAATTACCCTCTGTGTGAGCGGAATCCTCTTTGGAGGAAGACTCACCCAAGGTACTTTTGGAAGACTCCTGCTCCCTGGAAGCCTTACAGACTTTTCCCAATTGGATTGACTCTTCCTGGAGGGGGGGAGGCCTCTGTGGTGGACTCATCAAATCCAGCTGGGGTATACTGCCACCTCCTACCTCATGGATGGGAGGTGTCAGGCCCTTCAGTGGCTACTGGATTACTGCTTTGCTGATCAAACCACTCTGACATCCAGGCAATGGCCTGAACAATCCCTTGTAGAACCGCCATGTGATCCTGGGACTGAATGCCAAGCAATGACATTGTTGGGATTGGCACATGCATGGGAGACTGAGGCACAGTGCCAGGGGTTGCATCCCTTGGTGTCTGATCCCGGCAAGAGAGGCCCTGTGTGCCAATGCAATGTCCTTGGGGCAGCTGCACAAAAGGCCTTTCCCCTGGTTGGTCTCCGCGCAGGGTGTGTTAGACCAGACTTGGCTACCTTCTTGTTCCCTCCCGCCTTTTGGGAGGCATAGTTCCTTGGACAAATTCCTGCTTACAAAGGAACACAATAAATTATGAGTAAGGGACTACCACTGCGATGATGCCCCGCAAATCTGTCCCGTCTTGGGCCCAGAAACAGTCTCCACCTTCTCAATCCCTTGAAGAACCGATTAAGTTCACAGGAGCACATGAAGTTGCTTCATACAAAATCAAACCATTGGCTCATCAAAGTCTGTCCTGTTCACGCAGGCCGGCAGTGGCCCTCCAGGGTCCCAGGCAGATAAAGGTCCTTCACATCACATACCGCCCAATCCTCTCCTAGCCGGGGATGATGCCAGGAAATGAACCTAGGATCCTCTGCACCACACAAAGGCACCACCCAATCCTCTTGTAGCCAGGAATGTTGCCAGGGAATGAACCTGGGATCCTCTGCACCCAACACAAAGGTACCTACTTGGTATAGTCCCACCCCTTAACTTTGAAATATTTATTTATTTATTTGGGATTAAACTGCATCTCCGGGGAAACTTCTGCACCCAATCCTTGTTCCCTTGTTACAGAAAAAGGACATGTAGAATAGGCCTGAGGTCCGGTGGCCACTGCTTTTAATAGGGGATGGCTGGGTCGGCAAAACCCACCGGCCCACCCACAGCCTTGCCCCAGACACGCCTCCCACATGCTGAGGTTGACTGCCACGGCTGGATCCCACCTCCAGACCAGTCTATGTGGCCCACCACATGATGGGCACAATGGATGGTCATGCTGCTCCCTCTCCCAGCCCTGGGGCCTACAAAGTGGTGTCGGGGTAGGTCCCTGCTACGTCTTCCCACCGCAAAATCATTCACCAGTAATATTCACAGGTATGACCAAGAAATTTTCTGGCTTCACTCCCCAGTCTGGTGTTAGGACAATCTGGTTGTTGGCACTTGAGAGGTGAGGATCTTCCATCAGAGGAAAGGTGACAGTTTGTGGATGCTTGATTACCTCTCCCTTGGCATTCCCAGTTCACGCATCACATTAAACGTCTTACCCTTCCCTGGTGTGCAGCTGGGGATTTGAGTACTCATGTTTGTAAGTTAAGCATCAAGTCGCTTCCAACTTATGGGGACTCACTGAGTACCCATAAGTGTGTACTATTTTAAAACCAGAGGACCCCCATTCATAATAAGTATCATGGTAGAAAAGCATGTGCTGGGGAAATGTTTATGTTCTGGGAGTATTATGCTATGAAGAAGCTAGAAAGATACAGGCATGATCACTGCCTTGAGAGAGACCACTGGGAAACCCGTGTCAGCCACTTCAACTTTCTAAAGGAGACGGGGATATCAGTACTATTTACATTTACAAAAGCCAGTTCTCAACATTCTCTCTTTGCTATGATTCAAGAAGCAACTAAATCTAATGTGATGCTGAAAAAAATGCTAGGATATTCTATCTAGTAGCCTGACTCCAAAACACTAGGATAATTCCAAGCAATGTTCCCTCTAAGCTGTGGAGTCTTGTGAGCAGAAATTCTACCTTGTGAGCTCCTGGCACTAAAGTTGTGAGTGAGTGATTTGGCTGCTGCATAGATTAGTTTGCTCTGTAGCCCTCCTTCCTGAGCGAAGACCAAAATGTGTGAGCCAGAGGCTAAAACACTGTGAGCTAGCTCACGCTAACTCAGCTTAGAGGGAACACTGATTCCAAGGGTCTTATACTGGCCTCAGTGAAGATATACTGTTTCTAAGCTTCATAGTTCCCAGGAAAATTTAACCACTATAATATTTAAACATTTCCTCAAAAGAGCTCTTAAACAGATTTTAAAGTTATAAAATAGACAAAAGCAATGTGTTGGAATTTTCACATAAATATTACACTCCGTTTGTAGATATGGCTCACCTTCTTTTTAAGCACTTTTCAGTTGTGTATTACTTAAAGTGAGATTTCATTTTCTCCGTCTGGAGATATTCCAGAGTCATGAAGGAAAGCATTTGAGTTATAGCCATCATTTATCTTATTGAGAATTCCTCTATCACAATTCCTTGGGCTCTATTTTTATTACACTACTGCTTATGTATTTTAATGTGCAGAAAGCAATAAAAAATTTCAAAACATAGTGTAACAGATACTGAAAAGGAAAGATTTTGAATAAGGCTGATTTGAATCCAGTTTCTAAAAGCAGGTCTTAAATGAAACAGGGTAACGTTACCTCAGATATAACCACTGAAATGCAGATAGTCTCTTGATACAGGTCTGGCAAGCAGGATGTGATACACTTGTGGACCCAGCATGTAGATTAAAGAATTACATCTAGTCATTCTTTCTAGCCTGGATAGATAGTTATTGCTAAAAAGTTTCTAGTCATACCTAACTGCTACCTAAATTGTGTGTCGGAGCTTGCTTGGCCTTCATAAAATACATAGACATTCTCATCTAAACCTGTAAATACCTTTGCCTCTACACCCCTCTTTTATAGTGGACAGACAGAATGTGTGGCCAAAGACTCTACAGATGATGGGCAGAAAGGCAAACAGGCTTGATTCTTCCTCCTGCACTGAATCATTTATGCAAGCAACATGCAAGGGGTCCAGTGAGAAATAAAAGTATGAATGACAGTTAACTTACTACATCTTGTGTCAAAATGGTCCTGGGTCAATCGCAGAAACCGAACACTTAATCTACCTTTTCGTATTATTGGATAGGGATTTTAATTTTCAGAAGTCAAGATGGCTTGCAAGTTAAAAAATTGCAAAGGACCTTCCCAGTAAAGATATATTACTGTTATAAATTGATCATGAAACAAAGCAAAGATTTAACTTTTTCCTTTTAGAATTAATTGACATGAAGGAGATTATTTCTTACTTTGTTTCAATAGACTTTAAAAGCTTTAGAACATTTAAACCTGTTTTGAACCCACATATTCTCTTGGCTATATTAACTGCAAAAATACTTTCATTATATTAAATTAGAACATTAAGTGAAAAATATTTTACTTCTAATTTCTATCTGAAATATTCCCGTTTATATCTGTGTCCTTTCCTAATAGAATACATACTTGAAAATTACCTTGTAATTGTCAGATAGAAACTTATTAAAACAGAGTGAAATTGAATTAGGGGAGAAAAATCATGTAGGGCAGTTTAAAAACTTGATCTTCATGGACTGTTTTAGATATCATTATTCACAAACCACTTACTCCAGAATAGTCTTGCTAATTTCACTGACTCAAATTAGTTATGTGTGCTCTTGCCAAACATGATATAAACATTAACTCACAGTGCCTTCAGCTATCAGAATATTTCAGAGACTGCTTTCTTTCAGCATAAAATTAAGCCATAACTACATATACTTTGATAGTTCAGGCAAAGAGCATGGTCTGGTGCAAGGACAGTAGTACGAGTCTAAGCAGAGTTACACCCTTCTGAAGCCATTAAAGTCAATGGGTTTACAACTATGCTCAGAATAGCACTGTAGGTGTACTAGAAGGAAGAAATCCTTTTCTCCCCCTATTTCTGTAGAATCCCCTGAAATCAGCCAACACTCTGGGATAACTGTTTTTTTCCTTCATACACCTCACCTGATTCTTAGGATCCAGTTTTGGACAAGGACGCCCTCCTTTGTAAGGTTTTTCCTTCAGCCATCTGGATCGAATTCTCACTCCTGTTCCACAAGTAGTACTGCAGGGGGCCCATGCAGACCAGTCGCTTAATTTGCAATCAAATGGGCAAGGAATCATACAAGGTTCTTTGATATAACCTAATATCAAAACACAGAAAGAATATTTATTTATTTAATTAATTCATGTATATACCACCTTTCTCCCCAGTGGGGATCCAAAGCAGCTTACATCATTCCCCTCTCCTTCATTTTATCCTCATGATAACCCGGTGAGGTAGGTTAGCCTGAGAGAGTCTGACTGGCCCAAGATCACCCACCAAGCTTCCATGGTACAAGTGGGGATTTGAACCTGGGTTTTCCCAGATACTAGTCCAACCACTACACCACACTGGCTTAATTACATTTCATCATGTTAATGCACAGAAAGCTGTCCAGTTTACTTATGTTCAGAGGTCGATTTGGGGGGATCGTGAGGGATTGCCGTTCCCCCGGGTGAGGTGTGGGGGGCGGGGCACACAACGAAACCCCACCCCCTGCTTCCAGCCCTCATTCAGCCAGGATGAGGCAGGAGAAGAGGGAGGGGAAGTTGCTTCCTCCCCGCCTCTCCCCACCCCTGCCTGCCTGGGGCTAGGGAGGGCCTTGGCGGGGCTTCCTTGCACTCCCGCCGGCCTTGCAGGTCCACCGCCGGGCCCCCAACACTTCCGGTGATGTCAGGGGGGATGGCCTTATGACACACATCCGGTGATGTCAGGGGGTGTGGCATATGCTAATGAGTTATGCTAATGAGTTCCCCTAGCTCATGTTTATTTATTAAAATCCTTTACTAATTATTCAAGGCAAAGCAAAAGCCTGAGAACCATCTGTTTGTTGAAAGGTTTATCTTGAAGGGAGGATGGGGTATTTGAGGCCTTGTGGACAGAGGTGCAGAAAACATCTGAAGCAGGTACAATAGCACCTAAGAGACCAACAAGATTTCCTTTCCTTTTATTCCCTTAGAAGCTTGTTGATTCATAAATCTTGAGCGGTGGAAAAGACTTCTTCCTTATTTTCGGATGCGAGGGCTAAAAGGACAGAAACATATTTCGCAACTGCTAAGGTAAACTTAGGATCCTTATTGCTAAGCAAAAGAGCCAGGGTTTCTGGAGTATAAGGGGATGGTTAATTAATTAAAGGCTTAATATAATAAATATAATTAGAGACTTAATATACAGATTCTCAGGATATAAGTTTTTGAGAGTCAGAACACTGCCATCTGACTCAGAGAGCTTTTTCTCTTGGAAGTTTATACCTCAAAAATCTTGTTGGTCTATAAGGTGCCACTGGATTCAGATTTAGCCGTTCTACTGCTGATTAAGGGCCATTCTGCAGCTAGCATTCACTCCATCGTTTTACCAAACCCACACTGGAACAGAAAAAGTTGCGGCTCAAAACCACATTCAAATACCGAGAGCCAATGCTGTACTGACTACAGAGTCACCACTGAACGGCCATAAAACGCCAATAAATCTACGCAGATAGTACCATAAAACCAAGAGATTAAAGCAAGTAAAACCAGCATGCAGTGTGGAGGCTACCACTGAATCCAACAATCAAAGAAAGTGAAAGTGGCATGCAATGTGGAGGGGGTTTTCTGTTCCGACGTGGGTTTGGTAAAACAGTGGAGCAAAAGCCAAATGCAGAATGGGCCCAACACACCTACCCTCTGAAACTATCTTCAGAAGTGGAGCTGACTTCCAAACTTACTATACTTTTCAGGATCTACTTACAAAACAAGCCCGTGCTTCCACACGCCCCAACATAAACCACAAGAATCTCGCACCAGTCACCAATGAATGCATTTATAATTCATTTTTACTTTCTGTCATTTAAACATACACACAATACTGAACAAAAGGCTGTATTTTATGGCCATTTTATTTTGAAGTATTTATTTCTATTTAAAACTTTTTAATCCAGCCTTTCCACACAATTAGAGCCCTCAAGGTGGCAAACATTTTTTTAAAAAAATAAAAGTTTTTTTTTTAAAAAAATCTATGTATATAAAACTACAATTAAAAATGTAACCAAGAAGGAAGGTCAGTTAGAGAATGCCAAATGAAACAAAAAGCGTTTCACCCACTGGTTGAAGAAAATGACAGAGGACGAGCAAATCTCCCGGAGGAGGAAATCCCACTGTTGTGGTGCCATGAGCAAGAAGACCCATCTAGCCTCATGACAAGGGCATCCAAAGCAGTAGGGTTGCCAGCTCTGGGTTGGAAAATTCCTGGAGACTTTGGGGGTGGAGCCTGTGGAGGGCAGGGCTTGGGGAGGGGAGGGGCCTCAGCAGGATAGTGCCATAGAGGGCACCCTCCAAATCAGACATTTTCTTCAGGGGAACTGATCTCCGTCATCTGGGGACCAGCCACAAGTGGCTCATCACTTGAAACTGGTGAAACGTGATCCCGGCCACTGCTGCCACTTGCATGTCCAACAACAGGCCCAGGACCAGCAGAACCCCTAAGCTGTGGGCATGCCCCTTTAAGAGGGGTGCAAACCCCCCCCCCCAGAACTAGAGAACCTTCAGTACCTGGGTCTGTCCTTTCACGCACCAGAAGCACCTCCATTTTGTTGGAATTGGCACTGATCCATCCTAAAAACTGCCTCAAGGCACTGGGTCAGGGTTTCCACAACTTCACTGGGATCGGCTGGAAGCACGAGACAGAGCTGAGTATCATCCAGATATTTGAGACAATCCGGCCCAAAACTCCTGGTTTACCTAACCCAGCAGTTTCATATAGATGTCAAAAAGCACTCCATACCCTATGCAGGGGGAAACCCAAAACTGTCACTCCAGCTTCTCCTTCATGGGTTCAGGGGGCTGTGGCCCACCACCCATTCCTCTGCTACAGCGATACATAGGGTCTCAGGCTAGTAGCTGCCAAATTTCTTGGCTAAGGAACTGCACCCCCCTCATTAGGATATTTTAACATCCCCCATGAGCTGTGTTCACCCCAAGGATCGGCACTCCAGGCTCCCCCCCTTATACATCTTTTGCTGGTTTAGGTCTCTCTCCATGGGCGTCTGGTGGGCTCAGGGGGCGATGCTACAGCGATGCATAGGATCTCAGGCTAGTAGATGCCAGGTTCCTCAGCTAAGGAACCACACACCCCTCATTAGGATATTTTAACACACACCCCCATGCCTGAGTGTTGGGATGTGCGAACACCTCTTCCTGACCTGTCATCCTGCTATGGTGCATAGGGTCTCAGCAGGTGCTAGGTTCCTCACCTGAGGAGCTGCACTATCCTCATTAGGATATTTTATCACCTCCTCCTCATGAGTTGTGTCCCCCCAAAATCATCACTTCCTGCCTCCCCCATCCACATCTCTCTCTTCACGAGTTGTGTCCCACCAAGAATCAAGAACCAAGATCTATCTCATAGTGCAATACCCACCTCATGAACCAAGATCTACCTAAAGGCACAACACATACCTCATGGACCGACATCCACCTATGCAAACCTCTAACTTGTTAAACATCTACCCATACAAGTGGGCTTGTTTGACTGTACCCAAGGTTTCCCGATCTACAGCAACAATGGGCAGGTGAACAATGGGTCCAAGGGGAAGGGTTGGCCACCTCAAGTATCCATCTTCACAACCAGGTGACAACCTTCTGGGCATGATGGGGGGTGTGGCTGACCACTCCCCAAACTCCAGTAACCAGGGGGAGGCAGGCGGGTGACTTCTCCCTGGGACCAAGAGTAAGGGTTGGCTACCCCCAGATTCCATCTTTACAATCAGGTGACTATTGTAAAGAGGAGTGTGGTGGGCCATCCCCCAAAACCCAGTTACCAGGGTAGGTGGATGGGTGACCACCTTCTGGGCCAGAGGAGAAGGGTCACCTGTGATTTCCCCGGAGAGCACTTTCCTGGGAGCTCCTGCTTTGGGAGGGGCACTACGTGGAGGAGAAGGGATGAGCCCTGAACCCAAACTTTTTTTTCTTCTGTTCGTGCCCATCCCTATTGCAGACTAATGCTTTATCTTAGCCATGTCTCCAAATACATGTAGATTAGGCACTAGCTTGGCTTTTCATTATGTATCAGCAGCTTCCTCACATCCACTACAAGTAGACTGTGACCACTCAGACCGTTTCCACATCTGGTACCTGCTTCTCATTCCTGGCGCGTTGAAGAACATCAGATCTGAATCACTGATTCCACAGTAGGAGGAATTCCCTCAGCAAGGGATTACGTTTGTGGCTGGGTGGGAGTGGTGGGCGTAGAAAAAAAGGGAGCATTCGTGATGCCAATTATGCTAATGTGTTTTGGCGCAATGTGAAGAATTCCCCACTTGAAACTATGAGTTCAGGAGTGCGGCAATGAAAACTTCCAGAAAACACAGAATTCAAAAGATGCAGGAGGAAAGGAAGGAAGATGCGGGTCAGAACCATGCCGCACATCATTCTGTGGGGAAATAATCACTAGCTGCGAATAACTGTGGAGGATGAAGCTTTTTTTGCGGAAGCTTTTTTGCGGAAACGGTCTCAGATTCCATATGCACTTTGTATGTGGGTATTATAAATAACAAAGCTCCCCCCAATGGTCCTTTCTGATTTCACTATCTTAACCTTTCACTAAACAAATTGACTATTCCACTGATAACTCATATAATGCATTAACTTCAACAAAATAAAGGTATTACTAGCAGGAGAGTTTGGACAGTCAGTTATCTGGCTACATCACCAAGGTCTTCTTACAAGCTCACATGAAATATAGCTCCATTTCAGATGGCATGACAGCTTGGATAACACAGTTTCAATAGAAAACCAAGTGCCTTGTTCAAAAATTAGATGAGACAGAGGGATTATTGGCTGATTAATGGAGGCAAAATCTGCCAAGCTCAAGGCACAGTTTACTAGCTTGGGGTTTGCAGATGACCTGCACAGCTGATAATACATAGAAATGTAATGATATTAAAATGATAGAGAGAAAACAAATTTACAAATACAGTAATTGGAATCCCCCCCCACATACAGTCACAATTGTATTATTTATGCCAACTTCTCCTAAGAAAATGCTATCTAGAAATGAAGAGTTAATTTGTTCAGTGTAACTTTCAGTGAAAGGCAGATAACCTGGTCAGAGACCAGAGAAAAG